CCCGCTGGGGACCTTGGTCCTGTTGTTTTCTTCACACATTGTTTATCCAGCCTATCTTATCTAGATAGACCTGCAGAGATAATAATATGCACATAACGTTGCGAATGGCCTCCACAGCACCAAACAAAGTGGCTCATAAGAACAAGGGGACAGTGGCAGCAACACCAACAAACTAACAAAAAGTCACTGACATACAAAATCTAAAAGAAGAGAAAAAAAGTTTTTTAATTAAAAAAAAAAAGAAAATAGTTCAAGGTCTGTTTGTTGACCTTTAGGAGTGTTTTCCAGACAAGTCTAATGGGGTGCCACGCCCTGGCCCCAAAGTCCATCCTTGATACTCCCTCGGGACCTCTTTGCTCTGCTTCCCATGCTGCTCTATTGCACACCCCCAGTGTTTTGCCTCAGTGTGGTGGGGTCAGCTCGGTCATATATCCCACACTGTGTCCCCGGTGCTGTCCCATGTAGGACCATGGGTCAGTGCAGGATGTCACATCTCGCAGTGGGGCTGACCATATGGTCCTCTCTGTGCATTGGCCATTCTGAGCTACACTATCGCCCTCTGAGCTTGGTGGGCCCTGGTGTGTTCCACTCCCTTCCTCCCCCTTCACTTGCTTCAGTTTGCTTCTGGGTATGGTAGGTCAGTTCCTTTCCCTCACCACACGATCTATTTTCATTTTCTGTGGCACTCCTTTCCTTGGTGGGGTTGATTCTGGTTGGGCCACACCCCTTCACTCTTAATCGTCTCAAGTTGACACCAGATTATGTAACTACCACAAGTACATTTACTAATATTTCCCTATTAAACATAACTGAACTAAGACCAAGATAAACTGAACTAAACTCACCGCCATAAAGTCGACTCTGACGCCTAGTGGCCCTACAGGACAAAGTAGAACTTCGGGTTTCCAAGGTTGTAAATCACCATGGAGTAGAATATCCCATCTTTCTCCCATGGAGTGACTAGTGGTTTCAAACTGCCGACCTTGCTGTTAGCATCCCAATGCGTAGCCCACCACACCACTGGGGCTCCTGAGGACTGTCCTCTTTAACACCAAATCCCTTACCATAATTTTAATAAGCATAACTCAAAAGTTCACGGCCACTGAGTCAACTCCAACCCATAGCAACCCTTTAAGACAGAGTGGAGCTGCCCCTGTGGGTTTGAGAGGCTGCAGCTCTTTAGAGGAGCATACAGCCTTATCTTTCTCCTAAGGGTCCACTAGTCATTTCAAACTTCAGACCCTGTGCTTAGCAGCCCACCACCTACTTCTTGCATCATAGGCCACAGTATACGCCAGTTTTTAAGTTTCTTTAAATAAATACATACATATATATAGGTTTTTTTCCTGAAGCATTTTACCGACATTTATAGGAAATTTGATCCTCAGCTGCATTTGTTTCTCTTCTAGGTTGGGTGACTGGTGATGGAAAAGGGCTCATCTACCTCACAGATCCTCAGATCCACTCTATTGACAAGAAAGATGTTACCACCAATTTTGGAAAGAGAGGGATTTTTTATTTCTTTAATAACCAACATGAGAAATGTAATGAAATATGTCAACGTCTTTCTTTGACCAGACCATCTGTATAGAAGCTGAGTAAGTCATAGTCTATCTGGATTAATAACACAATAGAACTTCATGCAGTTTACTAACAATAAGTTCTTCTCTCCTTCCAACCTGGTACATTTACGCTTGGGCATGGCTATCAGGCTAGTTCTTGTCAATGATTTGATTAAACAAGTTCGTCTATTTCAGCTCACTAATGCCTAGGATATCAGTCTTCTTTTTAAAAAAAATAGCTTTATTGGCATACAGTTCACATATCAAACAATTTAATCATTCAAACATATTAAGATTTGTACAGCTATCACCACAATCAACTGCAGAGTATTTTATCCCCATACTCATTGTTGTTAGCTCCCCATCACCCCACCCTGCATCCTCCCCTGCCTTGCCACTAGGCAATTATCAATCCAGCTACTGTAGCTATAGATCACCTATCCTGGATTTCATATACAGAAAATCATACAAAACACAAATAGAAAACAAGCAAACAAAAAACCTAACAACAATGACTAGATACACATAGGAAAACCTCAGTCAAAAAGAAAGCTAAAAACTGAAACAAGTTTCAAATGCATTAAAACCAAGCCAAGTGAAACTCACTGCCATCGAGTCAGTGCTGACTCATAGCAACCCCCTGTAGACTCCTGGGACTAATGGCTGACGGGAGTAGAAGATTCAGTCTTTCTCCCTCAGAGCTGCTGGTGGTTTCGAACTGACAGCCATGCCGATAGCAGCCCAACATATAACACCAGGGTTCCTAAAATGAATCAAAAGCGAGATACAGTTATAAGATTTATATTTTAATTTGATGACATCTGCCATAATCAACTTCACAATTCTCTCTGTCTGATAACAAGGCTATTCACTTCCCTGGACTATGTTTAAAAGAGATTCACTGGAGGCTTAATCCATGTGGGGACCCTGAAAATGGATTTTGGGCTTCCACCGTCATCCTTAGCCTTCTCCAAACTGAGTGTTCGCCATTGAACTCCGATACCATTCCCTTCCTCAGATTTGGATTTTGTAATTTACAATCCTGTATCACACAGGCTGGTGTGCTTCCTCCATGCAGACTTAGTTGACACCTCACTTAGATGGCTGCTTGCTTTAAGATGAGCCTTTAAGGGCCTCTTTGTGACATGAGAGCACCATCTGGTTTCTTCTCCACACTTTGCTATAACACCCACATCTTCAATGATCTCTTCATGAGGGTGCGCGCCAAGCAGGGCCCTATCTGAAGAAGGAACTGTACTTAGATTAGGGCTAGAAATAAGTGCAATCCCCAAATCCATTCACATAGATATGGTGTATATATAAGTGAGCCTCTGGTTCACTTTTGAGGCCTTCAGTAGCATTTTATGATACAGAACATGGTACATCATCCTCTTAGAGCACAAGGTCATTAAGTTAACCAGTTGTTCAGAATTTAAACCATTGTTGAGAAAAGCCTTGCACAAGTATAGGTCGTCTTCATTCTACAATACATGAGTTGCTCATTTGTATAGATTAAACTTTTAAAATACTGGATGCTCTTTACACAAACAATGGGAGTTGGTGATAGGGCAAAACTTTCGATAACACTCATTCACAAAGGTAGATCCCTGTCTACTACATCAATACATGTCATAGGAAAGCAGGGAGAGCATTCACACAGTCCTGGGCCACATTCATTGGAACTCCGTCTCATTCTTGGTGATTTCTAGTCTTCCTGGGTTCATACCTCGCCCAGTCCACATTCCCATTGTCAGTGGGTGCTTCTGAAGCTGCCGCTTCTCCTTCTGAGTCATGCTCCATCACAAATGAAGACGCTCTGTCCCATCTGTGTCAGTAAGGTCCCCTCCACTGTGAGGAGCTAACTCTTCCCCACTTGTATTTAGAATGACTCCCAACCTGAGAGTCCCATCTTCAACCATATATCTGACATTGTTCCATTGATATTCATAAGGTGTTCGGTTGCTAATCCCTCCAAAGGGGACCAGCTACTACTCCATCTTCGGAGTCTGTTCTTAGTCTGGAAGCTCTGCTGAAGCCTGTTCACCTTGGGTCACCCTGCTAGTTGGCATTTGAACTATCAGTGGCATACCTTTGAGCATCGTTACAACAAGCTAGTCATCAGTCCAACAGATGACAGATGAGTGAGGGTTTGTACCCCCAGCACTTGCTTATTTTAGTGTCTACTTCACAGTTAGTTCTGAGCATGTCTTTTCTTCAAAGAGATAACTAAATGAGTAAATGAACAACTAAGGCGCCATTAATTATTCCATGCATTTAGATACTCAGAGTATATATGAGCAAACGAACTCTTGCAACAACATAAATAAACTTTTTTTAAAAATCTGAATTCTCTACATTTTCTGAACACTGTTTTGCAACAAGATGGAAGGATGGAAAATTAGAAGGAAAGAAAAACAAATAGAATTTCCTTAGTTCACTTTTAATTTATAAAGAACTTTCTTTTGTTTCCATTTCTCTAATTTCTTCACCCTACTTTTTAATGTTTATTCTCATAGCAAAAGGAAGATTGGGAATTTTGCAAATAATTTTTTTCCTTTTTAGAAAATCCCACTCATTTCTCTAAATTAGAATGAAATACTTTCTTTAACTTTTTTCCCTCTTTTGCATGTAAAGATTTGTGAAATGACTATGCTTAACAATATGTTTCAGGAACTGAGATCAATTTAGAGAGAGTCCGAATCTTTGTCCTTTCAGATATCAAAAATGCTAGACTGAGTTCCTGTCGGTCAGCATAGCGACTGTTTTGAAGGTAATGTTGTTGTTGTTTTTCTGTGTGGTTTGGCTATACAGAAGTCCTCTCTGCCTGAACAGTTCAGTGGAAACTAGGTGTCAAATGTAAGAAGCAAGAGAGAGTGAGGGAGAGAGAAAAAATAAATCTCTTTATTGTGGTGCACAAACCTTCAATGTGAGGGAGCTTTGCAGCTGCGCAAGGAGAAAAAATGCATTCAAAACTATAATGCCAGTGTGAATAATCCTTTCTCGAATGCTGCTTGCAGACTGCTCCTGCTTTGTCAGGTGAACTTGAACAGGGCCCTCAGATTTGCCCCGTCCCCATTGCACACTCTGTCTATCACCCCAGGGCATTCACCATCTTGACTGTTGTTTAAAGAGACCGAGCAATCCATCATTGAGCCAGGGAGTCACTTTCTCATAGAAAAGTGAAATCAGCATGTGACACGACTCAGCCCAAGTGTTTTGCAGATTAAAATGATACATGGCGACTCACGTGTTACTAGGAAGATTAAGTCGGTTATCTTGTTCCGCTGCCCAGACAAAAGAATTCCCCTCAAGCGCTGAGTGAAAGCTTTACAGAAAGCTGGGGAAAAAGTTGGGATCGACTAACTGGATGGGGGGAAAGACTGCGAATTTAACAAGACAGCAGAAAAAGAACGTCACTTTACATGCGATCACCTTTTTCACGCCCGCCACAGAAAGTGTTCCAAAGAAGAAAGGGGGGCTGTATGAGGGGCCCATTTAATTACCCGGGATGGGCACCCCGTTTATTGTCCCACTGCCTCCACCGTGGTTGGAAACACCGTGAAATAAATGAGCAGCCACCGGCCCCGCGGGGCAACAAGCTTCAGGAGAGTGGGCTGCTAATACAGCACTGGCAGTGCTGAGTTATTAACTCTGATTATAATTGTGTGATGCACACAGTAATCAAATTGTCAATGAACCTCATCTATAAATGAGGTCACGATAGAAGGCCCAGGTGCCACCTTTTTATTCGCAAAGCAAGGCAGATGTGTATCATGTTATCAAAAAATAGCACTCTTCTTGGGGCTGTGGTCGGAGAGGTTGGGAGGAGGATAGGGAGCTAATAATAATGAGTGCAGGAAAGAAGAAACTGTTCTAAAATTGACTGTAATGATGAGGGCACAACTCTTTTAATATGGCTAAACCATTGAATTGTATATGTGAAGTGTAGGTCTGTT